AAAGGCTCAGGAACCCTTTGCAGGCGTTATGGCTTAATTAGCTGATTAGAGTGGGACACTTTGAGCCTAGAATATTGAACCTTTTCACAATATTCTAATTTTCTGAGATTGTGGATTTGGGGTTTTCATGAGCTGTAAGTCATAATCATCTCAATTATGACAAATCACCGCTTGAACTATCTTTGTTAGGAATTTCAAAATGCTCAAACAAACAGTTGAATTGTCAGAGGGAGTAAAATTGAAACCCAGTAGCAAGTATTTACACTGTAATGCTTGTAGCCAAGATAAAGTAAGGTTATTCCTGCAAACAGACTTAATGGGTTTAAGACAAAAGAACCTTTAGAGGTTGTTTTTGCTGACATAATTGGTCCTAAGAAACCAAGTTTAGGAGGCGCCTGTTATATTTTGAGTATTATGGACCATTACTCATGATACGGTTTCTGCTATCTTATGAAAAACAAAACAGAAACATTCCAACATTTCTTTAACTGGCTAAGGTTTGTTGGGAGAAAAATGAAAAGTAAAGTAATTACTTTAGTAACTGATAACAGGACTGAATTTGTTAACAAAAGATTCCAAACAATGTTGAAATTGGCTGGTGTTGAGCATAAACGTTCTGCACCTTACAGACCACAACATAACTCATTTATAGAACGAAGAGGGCAAACATTACAAGCCATGGCTTGCACTGTTATCTGATTCAGGTTTACCTGAAACACTGTGGGGTGAGGCCATAATGTGTAGTAACCATGTTTTATATAATGTAGTTAACACAACAACTGGAGAATTGCCATTCACTCGTTGGCATGGCAGAAAGCCAAATTTAAGTTACCTACACACATTTGGAGCTCCAACATAGGTGCATATCCCCTCACAAGTAAGACTGAAAGGGCAACATAGAGCTAAGAAGTTATTTTTTGTGGGTTATGAGGCCAACCATAGATCATTTAGATTCTGGGAACAAGGCACAGCTCATGTTTATTGTAGTGCTAATGCAAAATTTCTTGAGCACGTTGGGTGGGATAAACTGGAACAGGAATCCAGCAATGATATTATTATTATTGACACCCAAATAGTCCCTAAAGATGGTATCAGTAAACAGCAAATAGCCATTAAAGAGGAAGAAAGGAGGAAGTAGTAGAACAGGCACAGGAAGAAATAGAAGAACAGGAGCAGGTGGCACAGGAAAGTCCACCAGTAAGCCCTGTAATCCCAAGACGTTCAACCCTAGTAACATGACCACCTGATAGATATCAGGCTAGTATTGTATGCCAAGTGAATACAGTTCCAAGTAATTATAGTGAATTAAAACTGTTTCCTGCTAAGAATCAGGCTGCTTGGCAGAAAGCAATGGATAAGGAACTGGAATCATTAAAAAGACTGGAGGTATACGAAAACGTTAAGTTACCACCAGGTAAACATGCCATAGGATGTAAATGGATATATAAGCTAAAGACAGGTATGGATGGGACTGTTACCCATAAAGCCAGGTTAGTAGCACAAGGATTTAATCAGACAGCAAATGACTACGATGAGGTGTTTGCACCTAGTCAGAAGGCTACTACATTAAGGGCAGCATTAGTGTGGGCAGCTAAGGAGAAATACATTGTAAATCATTTGGATGTAGAAACAGCTTATCTGCATGCACCGTTGCAACACAACATATATTTAAAGAAACCTTTAGGTATCAAAGATAATAATACAACTGATTGCTGGAGATTGAAAAAGAGTCTTTATGGCTTAAAGCAATCAGGATATGAGTGGAACCAATGTATAGTTAAAGAATTAACTAAGATAGGCTTTGTAGCTGGCATGGCTGATCCATGTTTGTTTAAAAGAGAAAGTAATGGTATGATTTAATTATTGTTATTATTTACTGATGACATAGCGTTAATCACTAAAACTGAACAAGAAGCTACTGAGATAATTTCACAATTGGAAAAGAAATTTAAGATAAAACAATTAGGAGAAATCAAACAATATCTTGGTTTAAAGATAGATAGAACTAGGGGAGGATACAAGATCTCACAGGCAGATAAAATTAACCAATTACTAAAAAGTTTTAAAATGGAACCTTGTAAGCCGGCTAAGACACCAATGAGCCAGAATTTTAGCCATAGTGATGTTCAAAGTCCTATTTTTGATAAGAACATTTATCAGTCCTTGATTGGTAGTTTATCCTATCTCAGTAATTGGTCAAGGCCGGATATCGCATACAGTGTTAATCGATTAGTGATTTAACGCTGAGCCAACTAAAAGGCACCGGCAAGCTGCTAAACGTGTGTTAAGATACCTGAAACAAACAATGCATTATGCATTGTATTTGGAGCCTAAAGATGAACTGAATTTGACTGCATATGCTGATGCAAGTTTTGCTACAGACATAAATACACAAAAATCTACACCGGGTACTGCTGTATTATTGGGAAAAGCATTGATTGGTTGGAGGTCTATTAGACAGAAACATCTAAGTTTGTTAACAATGGAGGCTGAATTCTCATGTTTGTCTTTACTATGTACAGATTTAGTTTTGTACAAGCAATTATTAATTGATATGGGAATTAATGTAACAGATTCTATTGTTGTTTACAAAGACAACCAATCAGCAATACAGATGGCTTCAAATATTGCTGTTAAAACAAGAATGAAACACATAGATTTAAGATATTTAAATGTGAGACAATGTGTGCAAAGTAAAATGATTAAGCTAGAATACTGCATGTCAGAAAACAATATAGCAGATCATTTTACAAAGGCCCAAGGCTCTATAAAGCACAAGGCGTGCTGTGAAGATTATGGACTTAGAATGTAAGGTTGTCTTACCCAAAAGGGGAGAATGTTAGGAATATAAGTCACCTAACAGCTATTTGGGTTAGAAATATATAAACCAGGATAAACATTTTGAAGCTGTATCTTTAAGAAAATGCAAAACTGTAATTAGGTGTGGTTTCTTAAACGGCCGTAAGATGGAGTCAGAAACCTGGGTTGTTTACCCTTAGTCTCAGAAGAAAGTGTATCTCTGTTTCCTTCTGTTGGAAAGTATTGCTGTTCCTCCATTTCTTCTAATTGACTGATATTACTGGATTTAATGTAAGTCTGATACTGAACTGGTTTTTTTTTTTACACTGGACTTTGTTATTGAATTATCCCTGAATTGAAAAACTGTCTGATTTACCTGTGAATGACTTTGGACTGCCTATTTTGAACTTTGCTTAAACCTTTATTGAAAGTAAAACCCTACATTTACTGTACAGTGTATCCGTATGCTGTGTATTATTCAAACACTATACTCTATACGTCTCCCTGTATGCGCTCATTCTCCTAACAGGGAATTACCTCAACAATCTTGCTTTGCATGTAATGAGTCTATCTCATATATTAGGTTCACCTTTTAAGTTGCATTACTGAAATAAATGAACTTTTACACCATGCTCTAATTTTTCGAGTTTCACCTGTATGCGTGTTCCCCCTTCCAAGCATCTGTTTCTGCTCTAGTGTTGTGTGTCTGATTCTGGTATTCTCAGCCAGAGCTGCCCAACGCAGATATTTCATGGGATGATGTGTTCAGACCTGACAACCCAGCTCTGGACACCTAGACCTTCACTCAGCCTCTTTGCCAACTCACACAAAAGCTGGGTTAGCAGGCTGAGAATGTACCACACTAGCAGTTTGGAAGATTCAATGGCTTCTGAAAATGAAAGTGCAGCAGCTGAGATTTCTGCAGGTCTTTCAACTAATGTGATTAACGAAGTCTCCACAAGCTACCTGTTTGTGCTGGCTTAAGGGTGCTTGACCCTTTGAGAATACCTGGAAAGCTACTGAGGCTGGAAGGCTGCTGCTCCACCTCCCTCTGGAATCAGTCACAAGCACAGCAGCCAGACCATTGGGTGACATCCTCGTGTGTTCATTCTGATGTGGCTGTTTCATGTGTACATGCATGCCAGGATGCAAGAAGACCCACGGAAATTGTAATGAGCCACATCATCTACTTCGTTGGGACAACCCAAAACTTCAGGAAAATTATTTTTGCATATGATCTAGTATATTTGGTAGATATGTGCCTTACTCTGCAGTTTGTCCCTGGACAGGAATGAGGGTGAAGCAATAGCATCTCATTGTTCACCTCTAGTATTTGTCCAGTAGGCTCTTCAAAGTGAAAACAGTCTCTTGCTAGATCTAGGAGGGATGGTAAGAGTGCAAAACCTGCTGCGAGAGTTTGTGCTCCTCTGAAATTATCTACAGCAGGGAGGAATCTATCAATTGATGCAATCTGGGAATTTTGTGTCCTGCAGCCCGAGAATATGTCCACTCCTCTCCTTGTGGCCCAAGGAAATGTGAACAGGAATGGAGCTGTGTTCTGACACAGAACAGAATGGATCTACTACTCCACACTTTGAGCCACTCCTAAAACTACATGCAGAAAGGACCAAAACTGAGCTTCTGGGCTCTTCCACTTGGGGTATGAGGTCAGGAAAGATGTAGCTCCTCCTTCAATCCCACTGTGGGCCAGTCTAAAGAACACAATGGGCCTCATCTGCCCAAACTTCAGAGACCCATCTGAAATTCAACTAACACTGAGGTGGACTGACGGTTCTCTACGGTGCTAAGGAAATAGTTTCAGCCCATCAAGTGTGCTTGGACAGGTAATGTTCACCTTACTGATGCTTCGGAAGGCCACCAAACCTTTGATCTGCCCCTTCTGTAGGTAAGAGCCCTTCCTGTTTAACATGGCATACCTGGCACAAATGTTTCATGGGATTCCGGGAGAAAACCACCCTCTCGTATCATGGAAAGAACTCCAAACCCTGGATGGATGGTAAACAAGGATGCACATTGCAGCTGCTTCCCTTCTTGCCTCCGCATGTTGAGAAATGGAGCTACTGAAGGCCCCTACAATAAACTCTGTTCATCTCTCACTGTGTAGAATTTATGCCACATTTTTATCCGTTTGCTTTATTAACACTGGAGCTATAAAACTACCACATTAAGATTCAATGAACTTTTTTATTTATCATCCAAAAGTAACAGAACAGGGCTGTAATGAATCCCTCCAGCTGATATTTTAAACAGATCTCAGCCCTTTTACTCATCTTGACAGGCAATTAAAAAAAGTGTGAATTTTTTTTCACAGTACAGTCAACTCCACCCAAACTAAGGTAACGGTGGATAGAAATAAAATGCCCCCCAAATTAAAAGAAAACTTACCCACCCTCCTCCTCCTCCCATATTACATCGTCACAACTCACAAATCTGTACAAAATGTTCACTTTATAAAGCTCTGATGTAAAAATCAAATCAAGCAGCAATTCGGTAAGTGCAGCACGGGGCCTGTTGTAGCTCTATTTACAAGGCTCTTGTAACTTTACATGAGGACAAAATGCCATCCCGGTGGCTGAGTCTGTCCTGCCCCCTAGACCGGGACAGGTTTTGCTTTGGGGTTCTCCTTCTCCTTCTCCTTGCTCTTCTTCGACTTCTTCTTCTTGTGTTTATGTTTTTGGCTCTTCTCGGCTTCCGACTCGGTGCCAGGGTGTTTCTTATGCTTCTTGTGCTTCTTGTGTTTCTTGTGCTTCTTCTTGTCCTTCTTCTTCCTCTTCTTTTTGCTATCCTGACTGTCCACAGAGCTGGCGCTGCTGCTGCGGCTCCGGCCTTGGCTCCCTGAGGGGCTGGCACTGGGGCTGCTGGGGCTCTGGCTCCGGCTGGGCTGGGGAGCCAGGGCAGTGGGGGCTGCAGCCTCTTTTGGCTTCTCCTTCCCGTCTCTGGTTTTTTTCCCTGGGGAGTTGTCCTGTTTTGTTGAACCGTTGCTGTCGCTGTCGCTTTCGTTGTAGTCTGGGACAAAAGCTGCCTCGTCCGTCTCCCGCGTTGGGTCCGAAGAGAGCCGGGACGTGTGGCTCAGCTGAGGTCGTGGCTTGGCGGCGTTCTTGTCGTTCTGCGGAGCTCCTTGCTCCTTGGCTTCTGGGGAGCCCCGCCTGAATGTAGACTTGCTTCCAGATGCCCCCCTCTCTTTATTGCTCCAGGCCTCCGAGGATGGCCGCTGCTTCTCCCTCTCCTTGCCCGAGCCCTTCTCTTGGGCCTTGGGCTGTTCTGCTGGACGCCTGGAGTCGTAGGCGTTCTTGGGGTCGTTCTGCCTGCGGTCCCTGGATGGGCTGTAGCTGCTCCGCTTGGAGTCCCAGCTCTCCTTCTTGGGCTGCTCCGCTCGCTCCTCCCTGGTCTTGCTCTTGGACGCGGAGGGGGCCGGTTCCCGGGTCCGTGAAGGTGACGCTTTCTTTCGCGTGAGCCCACTCCGTTCCTCTCTGCGCTTGGAGCTGGAGTGGTCTCTGCTGCTGTCCCCGTCTGACTTCTTCTCTCGGCTAGGAGTAAAGTCCTTTGGGCCAGATCCGTGGGCAGAGTCATGTTTGTCTGAAGATCTGCTGTCCCGGGAGGAGTGAGAAGACCCACCCTTGGCATTTCCTTGCTCTGTCCCGCGCTCTGAACGGTCCTTCTCTGGCTGAGCTCCACCCTTTCTTTTCTCAGAAGGGTCTCGGTCAGAGGCAGTGTGGTCCCGGTCTTTGGCCTTCCCCTTCTCATTGGATGCTGCCGTTTTGGAGGTTTTGGGGTCAGGCTGCGAAGTTTCACGGCCAGGTTCCTTTGTGGCTCTTGGATTTCTCTCTGTGGGTTCAGGGTCCTTCTCGTTCTGTTTGACAGGAGTGGGCAGCTTTGTGTTGACAGTCTTGATGACGCTGGCCGGCTTCCCAATGGCAGACGGGACTTGTGCAGACTTAACATTCTCTTCTTCTTCCTCAGAGTCGAAATCATCTTTGTCCCACTTGGACTGGGGAACCTGGATCATGATGATGACATCTTCAGCAGGGGCAGTAATGTCGTTGTTGTATTCTTCCAGAGTCTTGATGACGGTGCGCTTGGTGTCTACTTTATCTTCCAGCTTCTTCACTGGACTGCCTCCAGCAGAGCTTGTACTGAGGAGGCAAGAAACAAGAAAGGTTTATTGTGGGCAATATCAAAGTGTGTAATTTCAACTCCTAATTTTGCAGTGGGAATATGAGTTTCCCTGTCTCGCCAAAAAGACATTTGTCTAAAGGCCTAACACAGCGGTCTTCAAACTTGACAGCTTTAAGACGCGTGGATTTTAACTCCCAGAATTCTTCCTCCAGTCATGATAGCTCAGCAATTCTTGGAGTTGAAGTCCGCAAGTCTTAAAGTTGCCAAGTTTGGAGACCTCTGGTGTAGTGTGTAGACCAGGGGTCTTCAAACGTGACAGCTGAGGACTTGAACTCCCAGAACTCCTCCTCCAGTCATGTTAGTTCAGGAATTCTGGGAGTTGAAGTCCACCAACTCTTAAACTTGCCACGTTTGAAGACCCTTGGCCCAACATAAGGAAATGTCCTGGTAACTACCATATGCTTTAAATTTTGTTAAAGAATAAGTTTATTCTATAAAATGGCCTGATTTCATCTTCAACTGTTCTAACTTTAGAGGAGCAAAATGTGACTTGTTAAACTAATATTAAAAATCTGCATCTTACGGTTCTGAGAAAAAACTGTCAAAATTCCAGGCAACCATTCCTTGCCTCCAGGGCAAGCCCAATATAATTCACATTATTGTTATTGTTGTTTTTTTCTCAGGAATACAAGGGAAAGATACCTATAGGCAAAAAAAAAAAAAAAAACCAACCGAAACAACCCCAAGATCCCAGAGAGTCATGAAGGAACAGGCCATGGTCACCTCTGGACTACATGGATTGGGAGGAAAGGACAACTAACTGAGGGTTTACCAGGGAAGGGATTCAGCCCCATCAGAAGAATTCAGAACTATTAACAAAAGGATGTGAGGGAGCTTAACGGAAGCGCTGTGGACGGTTTAACAAGTCGTGGGCAGGAACCACCATTGCGCCCTCCCCGTAACTCACAGTACCTGGTGTAATCGACCAGCGTGGAACCCGATCCATCAGCAGCCGCCGCTTTTCTCCTCAGCTTCCCCTTGGCTTTGTCTTGCTTCGCTTTGCTCGCCACCGCCGACTCAGGCTTCTCGGCTGAGGCTTCTTTCACCGGAGGGACGTTGTCAGCACTGGCGATCTTTTTGCCCGTTTCTCGGTTCAGCTTAATCTTCTTTGCAGGAACAGCTGGTAAAACAGCTTTGTCCTTCTCAGGGGTGCTCTCTGTTTTCTCTGCTTCTGGGTCATTCTTCCCCTTTGGCAATGGCTTCGATTCTGCGACTTCTGGCTTGGAAGCTTTTAGCGATGTGGCTTCAGGCTCCTTCTCCACTTTGTCCTCCATTTTTCTCTTCTTCTTTTCAGGTTTGGCATCTACTGGTTTGGTTTTGTCAACGGGTTTCTTGGACTTTTCCTCCTTGCTGGACGGCTTCTCTTGCTTGGTCTCCTTGGGATGCTCCTTCTTGGCCTTCTCCTCCTTGGTGGACTTCGTCTCTGGGTGCTCTTTTGTGCCTCGAGGGTGGACTTTACGGGGAGCACTGGGAGGCTTCTCGTCCTTCTGGGAGGAAGGTTTGGGACCATCAGCCTTTGGCAACTCCTCCTTCACCTTTTTGGCAGGAGGTTCAGCCCGTGGGGATCTTTCACGGTCAGCCTCTGCCTTCTCTTGAGATGCTGCTTTAGCCGGTTTGACTTGCACCTCCTTCTTGGTAGTGGCAGCCCCTTCGGAGGTTTTCTGCTTCGTCTTTTCCACCCTTCCCTTCGGCTTCTCTTTCCTCTCCTTATCAGAGATGGGTTTAAAGGCAACTGAATCCGCTTCCATTGGCTCGTCCCGGACAGGAGTGGCATCGTCCCGGCTCGTGGGCACAAAAAGGGAGTCCGGTCTGCCCTCTTCGCCAGAAGCAGGCTTCCGTGAGCCCTCCAACAAGTCAGTGCTGGGGAAACCGTCACCTTCTTCTCCCCTCCGTCTTTTCCGGTGTTTCTTGTGTCGATTCCCTTTTGCATCCCCTGGAGGATTGTCCATTTCTTTGTCCTTCAGTTTGGTCATGTCTTTCATATTGTGGCCCTCTCTTCCTGGCAGCTTTTCAGAGTAGCCGCCGCCGCCGCCTAGATTTCGGTTCCGATGCCCGAGCCCTCCAGGATAATCGTCTCTGCGACCCCGAATGTAAGGGGAATTCTCTCTCCTTGGTCCAGGGGGGCCAAATCGTTCTGGGGAGAAGTTCTCTCTGTTGAGCAAAGGTCTGGGTTGGGCTCCAGCTGGGAAGCCCTTAAAGTATTTTTCATACCATTCTCTGTAGCTCTCCCCCCAGTCACGGAATCTCTCCTTCTCAAAGGGGTCTCTCATATCCACAGATCTCCCATAATATGCTTTCATGTCATAAACTGGGATTTCTCGGTAGCGACCAAAATACTCCCGTTCTCCTTCTCCCTGAGGAACGGGCCGCTTATTCGGGGACTGGCCTCTGTATGCTGGAGATCTTGACCGAGAATGGTACCTTCTGTAGGGGGGTGACCTAGATCTTGATCGATGATATCCGTGGGATCTTGACCTGGAGCGGTAATTCCGGCTCTTGCCTCTGCCCCTCCGGCCGTAGGGGGGAGACCTTGAGTAGGAGCGAGAATGGGAGCGGCTAAAGGACCGAGAGTACGAGCGAGAGCGGGACGAGCCAGATCTTGACTTGGAGTAAGTGTAGGAACTTCTTGAGTAGGAAGATGCACTATATGGCGATTTGGACCTGGAACACAATGAAAAGAAATGTTTAACTGTAGCTTCTGGATCTCTGTAAAAATTACCTTGCATCACAGAGACAAGAGAATTCTGCAGTATTTTTTTAAAAAATATTGACATTCGCCATATACAATTCAAAAACTGGTTAATAATACTTTGAGTGGACCCAGAGGACTTTTCCAGCTTTTAGAAAAGATCCTGAAACTTTCAGAAAGAGTTCACCGAATGTCTACTCCAGCAGTTCCCTAGGCTGTGGCTGGATATCAGCTAGATAATTAACAAATGTTTTGTCTAGTACTCTTGCAAAGGGTCTAAAACTGTTTGAGAGGACACCTGTGCGTGTGTACAAACTGGATTCCTAATCTCTGTGCAGAACCGCTATGAATATTCTAGAGCTGGGTTGCCTGCAAGGCCAGGCTCTCAAGCCACTTCGCTGCACACCTGGAGGACAGACAACCTTTGCTTCAGTTCCTCAGAAACAGGCCAGAGAAACGGCCCAAAATATCTGAGAGGCCCCAGGACAATTTGGGTGAATGCCACTCAACTGAGTTGCATTTCTCGAGAAATGACACTGCTAGCTTGCTTTAAAGGAAAACAATCCATTGTTTTAAACTTGGCATGGGTTATAACTTCTCAGGTTACTTTTAATAGAAAGCAGGCTAGAACTTGATTGCACAAACACTTTTTATCCCCCAGAAAATAAGCCATCACCAATTGATGTTTTCCCGCTATAATTAATACAGAATCAAGGGGATTAGGGGTTAGGCCTCCAAGGGCTGTGTTGGAAAGAGACCTGCTTGGGGGAAGAGTGCAGGAGCAGCCCTTGGGGATTCCTAGCAGCGGAAACAGCCCATGTCTATGAAGGGGACAGGTGGGGTTGGGCTAGGTGCACCTCCTGGGCGGCAGTGAGGAGAGCCCAGGATGCTGGCAGAGAGTGCAGCAGCCATGATTTATCTCTGGGCACAGGTGGCAGCAAGCAAGAGGCCCACCAGGAGTGCATCCTTGTTCTTGGGACAAGAAGGGCATGCAACGTCTTGTGCTTGCTTCCTACCTCCTTTCCCGAGGGAGCTGTTCCCTGAGAAGTGGCTGAGGAGCACACGGAGGCCAGAGCGGTCCTGACCTTACCTTGCCTCCCCACCTGTCAGCTGGAAGGGCAAGGAAGACGGGGTGGCAGGCAATTGGAGATGCCTGTTCTCACCACCAGCTCCTCAATACCAGCAGAGATGGCCGGCCTAAGTACCCTGCTCAGTGCAGGAATAGGAACATAGTCACTTGGTCTGTCCAGTGGGGCGTGGAACCTTGCTTCCCTAGGCTGGGGCAGAAAGCTGTTGGTATTGTTGCCCTGGTGAGATGGGTGGTAAAAATGATATAAAGGGTAGCCTGAGTACCTGGTCTACATGAGACCCTGGGAAAGCTAGAGGTAGAGATGCCCTGGCTCAAGGATGGGGCACTGCAGCCTCCTGAGCACCTCAAACTGGGCAGGGCAGAAATGCTCGGACTGTTTTGGCCTTTGCTTTTAGCAGGACATTTGAGGCACTCCACAGATGCCTTAAGTCCTGCAAAGACTGAAAGCATCCATTACACTTCCATATTCTCAAGGAAATTGGTCTCCAGGATCCAAAATGGCTGCCTTAAGCCTCTACAGATCTCGGTGCTCAGCTACTTCTGACCCTACCCACCAGAGTAAAAAAAAAAGTCTGCTCCACCAGAAGCTAATCCTCCACAGCTCCCAGCCAGGAGACCAACTGAAAAGGGCTGTCCACCCATCTTCTGGATGCAAAGCAGAGGCTGCTCCCATGGCAGGTGAGGGGAGGACACCTGGAAGCAGCAGCAGACGGATTCCCTGGAATTGGCTCTTGCCAAGAATAATTTCTCTGCCCACCGTGTAACCATTGTACAAGAAAACGTAACATTCAGGGATTGGGATGGGATGAGGTGGTTATAATCATGACTTTTTAAAATCAGGATGTTGATTAATATTATACATATTATATGGTTTATTATAAACTATTTCCATAGGTGTTGTTTTATATTTAAGTTAAGTGGCATAAAAGCAGCTGCACTAAATAAACAAATTTTGATAGACACGTTTAAAAAATTACCGGGAATAAGAACGCCTGCGTTCCTTCTGAATTTTTTTATATTCCATCAGTTCTTTAGCAAAATCATTTGTAAACTCATCAAGCTTTGACTTTTTCTTTTCCCTGTTAAAATAAGAAAAACATTGTGCTGCAATGCAATTCTGTACTGATAAAGCAGGCACTAAGAGTACTAACTCAAACAAGGACTGCATGCCACATATTACTAAAATGCGAATCATCGTTTTTTGGTTTTTTTTTTTGGAAAGACGTTTCATTAGTATTTTATTAGAATTACAAGTTTCTGGGTTTTAGATCTGAAGGCTGGTAGTGAAAAACCAACATCTGAAATCTCACGTTATATGTCATGTTTGCTCGCAGCACACGCATTTTGAGCACAGCTGCAGCCAAACCGTCTACTGAAACAGAAGAATGAAATATAACGGAACTTCATCCAGCGCCAAATACTTACTCCTCTTTAAGTCTCCGTTGCTCTCTGTAAAACTCCTCCCTAGATAAAGGAGGTGCTTGGGTCGTTGGGATGGTATTTGAGTGAGCCGTTGGTACTGGTGTTGGTACCCATGGTGTTGATATGTTTGCTGGAGCCGGGGGGTATCCCGGAGGGGGGACAGTGTACCCAGCTGGTGGAGGCTGACCAGGTGGAAACTGAGGAGGAAACTGTGGTGGAGGTACCCCCGGTGGAAGAGGAAGTGCGTGGGGAGGAGGAGGATACAGGGGAGGTGGAGGCACGGGCACAAAGACTGGTGTTGAGGCTGGCAGTGTTGGGGCCTGAGTCCTTTGTGTACGATCACTATGCGGGCGTCCTCGGTTTGAACTTCTAAAGAAACCCAAAAACACGTTGTCACTGAGTGTCACACTTGTCTTTTGTTCGCAAGAGAGGAGGAACGTGAAACGGAGAGAGCATTCTTCTGCAGTCATGGCCTATGCTGTCTTACAGCTCAACCACAGACTAACCTGTTCTGCCGTCCTCCCTCTGTAGCTCTCTAGACTTAGACAAAGAGCCCTCCCCACAATATATATACTCATAAACACTGGCACACTGGCTAAGTTCTGCTTCTTACCATTCCCCACAGCTGTGGTTGTGTAGTTGCTGCACTCTGCACCTCAACTCCCTTTCCAGAACCACCTTTGAGTTTTTTCAAGGCTAACTAAACTAGAATTACACAGAGGTTTGAGTTTTTTAGCTTTGCTTATAGCTGATAATATAGCAATTTGCCCCCCAAAATGCTAAATTCTAATATTAATATGACTGAGATAATTTTCTAATCTTATACTCAACTGTACACTATGAACAAATGTGTTACATTTCCTTGCTCATTTTAGTCCAGAGACAGGTTTAAAATGTTGCTCATTATCATAACATTGGAACCCTTTTAGTAGCAACTGATGCTTCCTATGCACATACAAACAGCTATTTAATGATTATGTTCTACACTTGCTGCCTAAGAACACACACACACACACACACACACACACACACACACACAAATGCACACGCACACACAACCACGTAGAGAGAGAGAGATTCTGAAAGGATACTTACGGCTCCCAGCCTGACCTACTGGCTGCAGAGCGGACAGGATTTGTTCTCATTGGCTGACCTGCATAGACAAGAAGTTGTTTTCAGTACGGATGGCAGATACTTCAGCTGCATATGACAAGAATGATCCAAGCTGTGCAAACTTACCCATAGTGGGTATTGAATGCCCATGAGAACTCAGCTGCCCAGTCAAGGCTGCTTGTCCAAGCACAGGAACCTGATAGCCCTTTGGGAAGGAAACGGAAGGGGATTAATTGGTGCTGCTACTGTAAAATACACCAGCCGCTTCCATTTGGCAACAAAGCTTACCTTTTCTTCCAGCACAGTGCTAATTGATAAAGAGGAAGGAGGCTTTGTGTGATCGGAGGCCAACACAACAGCAGCAGCTGATCCAAGACAATCACCCTCCCTGGAAAGAAACAAAAGAGTTTCCAGGTTATTTGGTGATAACATTGGGAAGGAGGAACATTATCTTCATTATTACAAGCACTTAGAGGAAAAAATGGGAAATATATTAAATGAGCAGGTAAATAAATTACTATAAAGGCATCTGACAACAGAGATGAAGCTATAAGAACTATATAATTATACATTTCTACAGACTACACATCAAAGACACAAAGAGCTGGAAAAGTGACAGATAAAGTAAATATCATTAAGAGATTGAAATGTTTTCTAAACCAAGGAAAAGGTTTGAAGATAAACAGGGAAGTTCTATTGGAAGTGCTCTGTGCTATCATTAACTTGTCATCTTCTAGTAGCTTTTAATTTAGTAGGTTATGGACAGGTCTTATAATATCACAGAGCACTAAACCTTGTCCTGATTTGAAATAGTGAGTTACTTCCCACCCATGAGGAAGAGCAGAAAACAGCTATATTACACATGTCACAAGATAAGCTCAACTATCATTTACAAGTCCAATTTTCTAGATACATGAACCAATAAATTACCACAGGAGCTGGCTTACACAACATATTGATTAAAATGTGGTTGACTACTATAACTTGATAAACCTAGCGACTGATCAAGTTAGTTTATAACATCTTTTTCCATGTCACTCTTGGTCATTTTTAAATTAACTGTGGTCATTGTTCAAAAATATATTTAAATGTATTCAATGTTAAAATATTTTACTTCACTCCGTATTGTAACTTGAGTTTGAATGTTCTTTTCCTTTAATTATAATCTGTAGTTCCCTCTAATAGCCCATGTTTTAAAAGTCTTATAATTTTTTATAGAATTCAAAACAAAAGTTTTTTTCCTACAGGAAGCATTCTTGATAATCAATTCCCAAATGTTATTTAAAATGTATCTGGACCCTTAGTCTATTTGTAAGTTTCTAAAATTATATAAACCATCTGTGTTTCCCTGTTTTTCCCCCCTATAAAATGCTTCTTGTGATGAGACCTTATAAAGGCATTTTCAGGCACAATTTCAGTTTATATCTATTTCAAATTCTCTACCTGGCACTTCTAATATAATGATTTTTGAAATCTACATCATCCCTAATTTATCGTTCCATAGGAAACCAAACCAAACCACAGGTTTGGCCCTTCAAATTCTAAAATTCTCTTATTTCCCAGCGTGTCCACTCTTTCATCCAAACCAAGCAACAGGTTGCAAAATACAATTTCCAATGAGGCAGTCTCAAGCATCCTCATTCCTTTGTATCTTGGAGGATGTTATATTTAATCCTTGGCTTTGCCATACGATACAAACCTAGAGGTAGCTTTCTACCATTACTTAAATTGTGCATTAGTTATCAAAATAGATATAGTTTGAAACAAAAACATCATTCTAGGAAACACATTTATTTTTATTAGAGACATTCTCCCCAATATCAAGTGTAATTTTCCCATCTCCAACATGTCCTTAATTTTAATTCCCTGTCAATTGTTCTGAAATAACATACAAAGTTTATAAATATGATTTAATCTATGCAACTAACAAAATATATAGAGGACTCTCAAAACCAAAACTGTTCAACTAGGTCCTATGACTCAGAATTTTTCAACCTTATATATGTGTGGGGGATTGCAACTTTTAAAATTCTAGTTGAGTTTCCTGGCTTAGAATTCTGGATTGATAATCAAAATATATTTGAAGATCATGGATCAAATCAGTTTCAGTGGCCATCAATTTAATGGTAACTAGTTTACCTCAGATTTTAAGGGTCTTCCGAATGTAGCCAAAATCTGATAAAAGTATTTTACTTACACACAACACTGATTCAAGAATTAAGTACAGCTTAAATTCACATTAGGTCTTTTACCAAGTCTTTGAAAGGTAGAGCAGGATACAAATATAGGAACTGAATCAATTCCTGGAAGTGTTGCATAATTTAATTCCCTCCAACATTCTTGGCAATTCAAAAAGAGAACCATTCATGGAAGTATTTGTGCAATGTTATTCTAAGAAGAGTGGATGGAAACAGGTTAAAAGTTGAAGACAGGGTACTTTCTTGATCAAGGATTTAACAATCCTACCTGATTTGAAACCTCATTTCCAGTGGCAGAAATGTTAAAATAATTTGTATGCTCGGTGGAAATCATGAGACCAATGAAGATTCTCACACTGGATGAAAGACCACAAAGGAAAGGCCTTGAAGGATGCAGGAGGACGCATGTTATCAGACATGCCGGATAAACACAGAAACGCCAACCTCCCCACCCCTATAGTTGACTTACCGGAAAGGTCCTTCAGGCTTATCAGCATGAATTGCCAGAGATATTCCTGTAGGCACATCACTGACTGAGATGGAGGCAGACTGGTTCATGACCAACATGCTTGTTGCAGGGGGAACTTGGCCAGGAGTCAAAGATAAGGGGGGAGATGCAGTGGCATGAACCGAGGCAGAGGTGATTGGGAGGATAAGGGGATCCTGTTGCCTGGAGCCTGTTGGCCTTGGCACAGAAGGCACATTCCGCTGAACCGCTGGTCTTGGTGGGGGCGCCTGCTTGCGGAGCCTTTTAGTGTAGCCTGTTTCATTTTTGAAGTTATTTACAGCCTAAAGAGTGAAAACAAACAAGGAGTCAAAACTGTCTGAAATAACACCAGTATCAGTGACAAGGGCTGCACCTGCATTGCCTACGCCACTTGATTACTTATCAAATGAGTCTTCTGGGTTCACACAATATGTTAAACTGTCCAACCAGATTGAATTTTCACAACAGGCTAAGCAAAAGACTGCCCACCAAGATTAACACCAATCAGGAGTAATGTGTGCTCCAAATAGACTACATATTCACCTATCTACCCTAGTGTGATGTAACCGCAGAATAGGTTTCCCACCTTTGTACAGAAGCTTAACATTCATTTGGTCTTGTTATAGGAGGAGAAACACCTGAATAATTCTGTCAAATCACAGACTAATCAACCAGTAATGATCATTATCCCTCCAAATGCTCAACAGAATCTCTCTGACTCAGAATAGTGTAAAGTAATTAAAACAGCAGGGGAGGTGCCCTCAGAGAGATTAATATAGGTAGTTTACCTGGCGTAAAAATTTGTTGGCAATTAAATTATCAGGAGAAACATCTGTCTGATGACATGTTGGACAGGTATGTTCCTCTGATTCTAGCAAGGATGTTCGGATACCTGTTAATGAAATGAAAATTCCATTTTAAATGCAAGAATATTATAAGTAGAGCATTTTATGCATAGATGGGTAAGTGTCACACACCAATAGGAAGTCAGTGTGGAGGCTGAAGAAGAGATGTTAACTCTGAACTATCAGATTTTACATGCCAGCACATGGCATAAGAAGCTGAACAGACTTCCAGGCAACCCAAATTAGAATGAATTTTGAAGAGTCATACCAATTACCAGTTATGACACTGGCAAGAAATCGCCCTCCCCTTGTGTTGCATCTCTTTGTATTATGTACGGATGGGCACAAGGAAGCCCCAGATGGGAGGGGGTTAGAACAGAACATGTGTGTTTTTTTTTGGTTTTTGTATTTCTTTTATACAAAATAAATAGAATGAAATATTCAGCAATATTCTGAGCAATGGTCTAATCATTTCTCCTACAGGGATTTTTCTATAAACTTATTTTTTCCTGGTCAGCAGTCTCCACTCTGATTTCAGCTTTTTTTAAACTCCATCTTTCCTTTGCCAGCTTGTTCTTCCAAACCAAATTTGCTCTATTTCCATCCGGTTTTCATAGAGGATATCCTCCAGCCAGAATCACCACCTTCTTTAAATTACTTATTTCCAACATTCTGCTGGACTGGAAAGAATTAAAGAAGTCCACTAATGCATAATCTGTATGGAAAACCGTACATGACATTATCAGGGCAACAGTGGGCATCCCATCAGGTAGAGGGATTGACTCTGTCGCTCAGTTCGAGCACTGCTCTGCACAAAGGCAGCAGGCACATCCATGTCAGAACTTCTGTTCCTTCCCCTTGCGCTGACTGGGCAGTTTACAAACTCACATTCATCACAGTAGCTGTTTCCACAACAGGGAATCACCACAGCGTCAGTCATTATATCCTTGCAGATCAGACACAACAATTCATCTGGAATAGGGTCATCTTCCTCCGAGGAAGAGGACGGTTCCTCTGGCAAGAAAGGAGGCTTCTCCTTCTTCCCAATGGCATAAGCCTCGCTGGGGGGAAAAAAATCCTTCTGTGAAACCTTTTGTCTCCTTTGTGGAAGTAATAGTAGTTTGAAGAAGCATGTTATAAACTTGAGGACGTATGCTAACATTTTTCTTCCACACTCCTGTACAGTCTGGACAAATTAACAGAAGCATGAATTTTAAAGTTGCATTTTAATTGGATGAAAAATAATTTTATATTAGTGAATTTGGCAGAGCCAGAATGGCAGTGAGACAGCAGCTTATTGATCATTCAAAATTTCAGAGCAAACGAATACAAAGGTGCAAGAGTACTTAAAACAGATTAATTCCTACACTGAGTAGCAGTGCTTTGTGGGCACTGACATGATTATGACCAACCTTCATTTATCAATCACTAATAAGTGATTAATTTATTAATTGATTTAAGTAATGACCATGTCTGTGTCCAGAAAATACAACTTGCACTTATTAAATTTAAACACTTGAAATAGAGCAATGAAAGTGAATTAATCAAATATCACAACTATTAAGTAAACCAAAATAGGATCTTTGGCAACACATTTTCAGTTACTCACTCACTGTATTTATTGCTTTTTGTAATCAGCAAAAAATGCCTATCGCCCCAAAGCCCGAGCTAAGGATAGAATTGCAAATCAAAGATCTGAGGGAGAATCCATCCTTTTATTTCAGATCAAGATTTCTAGGAGGCTTCAACTTTGATTTTCCTAAGCTGAAACCTTTTCCTCCTCCAGCCACAAAGACCCCTTGAGGGCCCGCCCCATTTCCTCACCTGTGTGCAAATTGAGTGTGAGCTTCTAGGAAAATTTACGTTTATGAACTGTCTGACATGAGGATGCATTTCTAATTATATTTAATAGCCCTTAGTTATCACGGCTCTTAATTCAGCTAAGGTGAAAGATGAAAAGTGAATTGATATAGGATTCTAGAACTTAACAGGTGTACAGTTCCTAAGTATTATTAATCAATAAACAAAAACAGAACAATTAAAAGATAGGATAAGAATTCCATAGCCAGTCAATTTATTAATCATCTAACCAATAGATCGCCAATTTGTTTTTCAGGCAATTTTCAGGCAAATTTAAATGAGGATGTTTTGTAAAGATCTCTATTACTTACGCATCAATAGTAGGAATAGCATATTTCCCTGTATTGGTAAGCATGGCACCCTTAGTATTAGGATCCTGCACTTCCATCATGAAACTTCGTGGAATTCCAGTACTCTTCTTAATCCTGGGAACAGACTCAAAGTTCTTGTCCTGTTAAGAAAAAACAACAGAAACATTGTTTAAAATCTACTTCCTGCAACTCCTGCCAACTCCATCTGTACATAATTGTTTTGATCCATGGACAGATTTTGTAGCTTTACACAGAATTGTATTCAAATCAAGTCAGTTCTCATTAGAAAACAAACAATTTGACTGCCCTTTGGAGGGCAGATCCAGAGACTGATGAAATTTAACACAACCAGTAACACCCTCCACTAATATTCCAATTTATAGTTCTTTACCTCCTCTCTCCTTTGCTCCAAAGACTCAAATACAAAGACAGATGCTACTAAGTGAGTTGCCTTTGCTTGCCCATCCTGCCAGTCACAATACCTCTAAACTTACATATCCCCTAAAGACTCTCTAGTTAGCTTAGCACGAGGGAATCTCTCTCCGCAATGAATTTAAAAATAGGATTAGGCTGCCATCCCCAAACAAAAGACAAGCTACTTCAACAATTGAAAAAAGGCCAATCTTACCCCATTGGTTGGGCAGATCTTTATGTAATGACCAGGTTTTCCACAACGAAAGCAAGTGTATGATGGCGGTGGTGGTCCCAGGGGTTTCTTCATGTAACTAAAAAGGTGTAAGAAAAGAAGTGTGCAACTTTGTAGATTGTTTTTTTTTTTGTAAATGTAACTATGTAAATTGTTCCAAAGTTAGTTTTTGTGCTTCGGTTTGGTGGGTGACATGGTGAAGACTTACTTGATCGGATCATATTCGTGGCCAGACTGTGACATCATTGCTTTAATTTTATCTTCTTCAGAAGCATTGGCTTCAGCCAGATTGGCGGTCTGTTCAATAGGTAATCATTTGACAACACACATTAGAAAACACATTTAAGGCCATCCAAAGACAACACCACTCATCCAATCCTGTAAAGAGCAGCACAATGCTAGCTAAAGTTGTCTCAAAAACAGCTCAGATTATCCTGAAGATGTTCCAGGGAGTCCTTATGCCATTTACATGATGTTTATGTGCCTGTTGCGCTAAACTAATTTAATCAAAACAAAACCTGCTATTTTCTTTGCTGGCATACTTTGTGCATCAGGCTGTTTGTACTTTACACAAACACTTGTGTAAGTGTACCTGTTTCTTCGGATAAATTTAAGTGGCCTGAAGCTAAGTCTTTTGAAAGGTGCCTTCTGCAATACTTATAGATTAAAAAGCCATGAATTTTAAGAAGTGTACCTTAGAACGATAAGGTGCAATTCATGGTCTCCATTTGCCTTATTATTTTACACTAAGAAATACTGTAACAGCAATTATCATCCTGAAAACTGACATTTCATATCTAAGACTATTTTTAAATGTTGGGAAATTACTTGTAAAACCCTTTCTGGTATTTATAAAAGTAAAAATGAAGGAATATGGCTAATGTATCCAGAAAGGTGTAAACAAGATTGAACAAGTGACTTTCTGCCACGTAGGATCTAATGCCACACAATATGCTTTGGGCACACAACTTTCAGGATAGCCCCTTCAGGGTGCAAGCCATAGTTGTGATGTACAGCTAACAATTCTAGAAACTTGTTAAAATGGTTCACTGCATGCTAAATATTGATATAAGCAAGGTTGAAGGGATTGGTTATTACTTGCTCAGATATCCAATCACCTAACATTCAGATCGTCCATACACACTTTTTAATACATTCATCCACAAAAGCAAACAGCTAGTTTCAACGTTTTATTAAACAGTTGATTAAAATACATAACGTTTCTTAACAATGCAAATTAACAACTATGAAATTGTTCACATTTACAGAAAACTATTTTACATATACTTAGCTAATTTGTTTGAACCCAAACAGGTTTACAGAACATATCCATTAGCACAGAACATTAGTAGGAATAGACCAAAATTCAAATATGGCATTTAATACACAGTAGGAATAAAACAAAACTGTTAAATGCATTCCCTCTATGTAAGAATTAACAGCACCAAAGAGGTTAAAGTAAGTAACAGTTTTGAACTGCTTTATATTATATAAAAATATTCTGCATTTGACAGAAATACTCTCTGAAATTCTACCTGAAACTTAAAATTGTACAGCTCTTGGACATTTTTTTCACATCTCAGAAAAATAAACTTGACATAAGGTTACAAAACCAAGGACAAATTTAAGGACAGCACTAATGGAAACCAGACTTGCTTGATATAAATTAAATATTTGCAAACGCATGTCAAAATTTCCAAACTAGAAAACGTAGTTTATTTTTGAAAAAACGCAACTCCAGCCTTTGTTCACAAAAAGACATATGAAATATAAGGCAATACTGCTTCTAACTCAAAATTTTAAAGAGCAGTCATTTATTTGGGTATGTTATCACTAGTGCTTTCCCAGACAAAATTACACATTACTGAGCAGAAAGGCAAGCAGTTTCATTGCAAACAAAGTTGATACAACAGTTTAAGGTCACATTTGCCAGTATGCCACACATACACATTGGTATATTCCTATAGATACATTTACACAGTCTGTGTTCAAACAAATTAGTTGCATAGCTATTGCCCACTGCATATACTACAAGGGTACAACTGATGAAATTATTTGATGCAAATTAGTGCTCTATCACTGGCTTTGAGTGCAGGTTCCCCAAATAATCATATAAAGTGTCCATGTGATAGGGGAATACTTCTCTGCTGATTGTTGCACAGAGAAATCCTAGGAGTCCATAAATAGTATTAAAATTCTTCTTTAAAATTGTGCTATTTTTCCAATGCAAAATTAATGTAACATATCAAAGAAATGATAAAAAACATCTTCAGAAGTGCTTCTTCTTTGTGTCTTGAAGATGAATAAAACTGCAACATTATGTTGAGGCTGATAAGGTACTCCCCTTCTATCTTCCCATACTGGGAACTACTCTTTACAGGATAGTAATTAATAAATACACACAATTCCAATGTTTAGACTTAATAGTTTTTTGCATCTATGACAGAAATTAAAGGTATAAATATCACAGCAGAAAACATTCAAAATACCAAGCAAGCAACAATATATTCTGTTATATTTGACAAATATATATGTATATACCTTTGTAAGCTGGGCCAGAGAAATAGATGCAGAAGAGTCATCAATCTGTTCATAAAAAATTAAACACACATTCAAGTTCCACAGTCAAAACGTAGCCAACATATTTAGCCTCAGCTGTGGCATTAAGATTTAGCCTGAAACTACATTCTACAGAGAGGAGTTTCAAAAATAAAAATAAAAAAATCTTCAGTCGAAATGGATCATTTGTTTCTATGGCCTGGACAGTCAAATATATAATATTCAGTTCTGTAAAAAATAAGTCAGATATCCAATTCACCTAATAACTTCATAATTGGCTTCGTTTTGTAACCAATATAAACCATTGTACATTTTTCAAAGTAAAAAAACATGCTACAATAAATATTAAAGTAGGTTAGGGTTAAAAACCTTCAATTTTTATGTAAATGTATGCTGTGGGACAAGTGAATGTAAAAATGTTCAAACATGTTGTGGGAAAGAGAATATTTATAGACATTTTCTTTTAGATGTGTTAAAATCTGAGTGATTCAAAGCTTTAGAAGATGATAGATGCTGTATTTAAAAGAAAAATAATCAGGATGCTGATAACAATGACAGATCCCTTAGATGTTTTGTGAGAAGTACTGAATAGAAGATGCTGAAATTAATGAGCAAAATAAATATATATGCATTTAAATGAACAATTTAAAAATACATATATTCCATGTTCTTTTTTTATCAATATATTCCTAAACTTAGTATTATGTAACACAGGGCTTTTTTCAATTCTAAAAAAACCCAGGAAAATATATATTTTTTCCAATCCTAACTTAAGCCTAATGCAATCTCTAATTATCATACAAATTCAATCATAGAACTAAATCAGACAACCTGCAATTATGTGATACATTTCACAATTCTAGTCATGAAATTACCCCACCATCTATGATGACTACCATGTTATGACCCACAAACAGGCATGCATGATTGAATGCCAACTACCACTGAGCACCTCTCATGTGTACAGACAGGGTGTAATTATGAGATTCTAGCTTGTCACTTAGAAAAAACACAGATCACTACTCTGAGTTAAATATACCAAGACTGGGCTTTAGGGATCATGTCAATAAAGCCAGAGGTTGGAAAGCCTATTACACACACAAACACACACACACAAATTGAAATTACATTTTTAGAATTCAATTCTAATTAATGCTTGCCCAAAGTAATCAAGCCTTTGCTTTTATTTACTAATTGAATTTGTACAGCTGTCCATCTCACAAAAAGCAACTCTGGTGACAGTACAATTTTATGTATGCAAATTAACAGTTGCTATTCAGATCCAGCACAAAAAGCCAATCCTAAAGATGGAACCACCACAGGGCAGTAACAGCACACACATCTACACCTAGCTTTACATGGGAATCTCTTGAGAACCACTTAGGGAGTTCAGACATATCTCATTTGGTTTTCTATTAAAATTATGGCCTCGTTTCTTCCAACATTGAACATACATTCTTCCTCATTATTTAATCATATGGAAGAAATCCAGGTGGTGACTGCATGGTTCAGGAAGAAATAATGTGAGTGTGGACTACATGTTCAGTATGTAAGTTTGTCAGGTAAATTCCAACTATTTATTCCAGATATTTGTGCTCAACCAAAAAAATATGTTTTATGTTCATTCTGAAGCATTTTCCTGGGCTATTAAATAGCCACAGAGGCTGATCAGAAGTATTGCTTTTTAAATAGCACTTAAAATCTTTATTTTAAAATGGAGTTGAAATAACATGCGAGATGTTAAAACACTTTTTATAAGACAAGAAATATGAAATAGATAGACTGGAAAAAATGGTTGGGCCACAAGAAACAAATGACTGAACACAGCAACAAATACGTCTAGTCCTCTTTTAAATAGCTTACAGACAAAATTGTCTCTTATGAAATAAATCAACATTGCATTTCAGCCATTAGAATAACTGAAATATGTGAATCTGTATCTACTAGTACTGGTAGCCCTCTACCTTCTTTAATGCTCTTGCCCTTTCAAGATTTTAGTTTCAATTGAGATGTCATTCATCCAAATTTGAGCCTGAGTTTTGTTACAGATGTAAGATTCTGTTACCGCACTCACAAATTAGTGATTCAAATTTTGCACCTAATGTCACAGCATACTGACCATTATGGAAATGGTTAAATAAGAATAGATTGAGGAAAGAAAATAAGAAAAAAATCAAACACACTAGCAGTCAAAACACTAGTCAAGATCACATACACACAATTAAATGATTCAAAATGTTTCTTCAAAATTGCTAAGATTTTCATTATTAAACTAGGTTCAATTTCACATGTGGCATGGAAGGTTTTGAAATTTAAAATGATATACATACATACATACATACATACATACATACATACTTGAGATGTCAGACTAAAGGTACCCTACAGGAAGAAAATAGTAACAGGCATAATAAATAAATCCACCCATCCAAGATGAACAGCCACCATGGTGCTCTTTCACTCCCTTGCAGAAGCTGGGAGACACCGTTAGACATGAGAGACACCGTTAGTCTACATTTGTGGGGAGCAGAGACAGACGTGTATGCCAGATATTCTGTCTTCCTAGGAAATGAAGGAAATGCACACATTGCAAAAGGATCTTGGGGGGGGGGGGTGTTCCTGGCAAAGACATGAGTTGTATACATAACACCACAATATGTGGGAGCACCTAGCTAATTTTTTAAAAAAGATAAAAGGTTTTTGAGCTATTAGTACTTGGATGGTGAATTCTAGTGCGGTAGGTTACAGCAAAGAAGTTTGAAACAAAGCAAAACCTGTCTAATGTTTCCAAGAAAAACATGGGACTTTTTTGTATGTAATGGCCAGGATTTGAGGTTCAATGAAAGGAGTCTTTATTGTTTAATGGACCAACATCAAACATAGTAGACAACAGCTAATTCTCCATTCATATCCTAACAACTCAAAACCTACAACAGCATCCCCACTCTGAATCAACTTATTTCTAAACTTTGACTATAGAATGGCTGATTGCATGTAGGGACTGAAATCTCCCGTCTACCCCACCCCGCCCCAAGACCATTAGGTGATAAACAATTTCACACAGACCTAACAAAACGTTCCCCCAGCCCTAACATTTCTTTTTCCAGATTTCAACAGAACTACAGCATTTTGGTGTGTGAGCTGGGAAAGCTTTTACTTGATTCAATGAACATTCTTTTGGTGCACCCTAGCTTCAAAGTACTGTAGGCTTGAAACAGCTGTACTGCAAAGCCTGCCAGTCTCTAACTTTGATCCTTCCTTTAGTGCAGATAACAGCAATGTTTGTAGGCAATCAATCTCTGAATTGGTGGATTTTATAGTGCTGTTTGCAAACTTGCTTAAAACCATATACTTTTAAACAGAGCTATAAGATGTACAATAGACATGCCAAGGTACACATAATTCTAAATGAAAGTTGAACTTTATTTGTGAACATAACTTTTTATACAAGCTACCAAAAAGAACTGGTTATAAAATAATAAAAGCAGCTTACACAAAAATCTGCTATATTATTTAGTTTTGGACTAGTAAACAAAAATGATTTTCAGACATGTATAATTAATAATCAAATGAGAACTATGTTTTTATATACCACAGGAATGCTAAATGTTTTTAAATAAGCATAATTTCATAAATATTCTAACTGGTCGCCAGGACTGCTCTTTTCTAACATTGGAAAACAATCCAGCAACTGCATCATTAAACCCTAACTAAAACAATTTCATAGTATGTTAAGCAAATTTAAAAATGGAAGAGACCACATGTGTGTTTAATGAATTGAAACAGGAAAAAAAATCCCACTGATCAATAATGGTAACTAAACAAGACCTTACCAAGGGAAGCAACTGAATAGGCTATTACATGTCAAAATAAAATTTAAGGACTTGTGGTGACCCAAGGAGCAAATAAGGGCATCTTCTCTTAATTGAATAGGTCCTTTGGAGAAGTCTGACAGGCGTTGTCACTGTGCTAAAATATCTCTTTTGTGTGAGGACTATTAAAATTAACTTTAATTATGTCTTGCTCAGGGATAATTAGTAGGAAATACAGATCTTAGGATAGCAGTTCACATTCTAGATTGTCTACTGGAGCAAAACATGTGAACAGTGTGTTTTTCAGAATATATATCTAATTGCACAAATAGATCTTTCAATAAATGATTGAATCTGAAGAGGAAAAAGGTAAGTTTAATATATTGCAGTTTTTGAAAATATCTTCAAAAATTAATGGAAATATTAAGAACAAAAGTTGATACAATGTGATAGTGGCAAAAAAAGATACACTCCAAATATTTTTATTTTGAGGAAACAAAAAGCACACAACAACCTATACAAACAAACAGCTACCAACTAGAGACACACAAAATGTAGAACAAAATAATTATGTTCAGCAGTGCAAACCTTAACTTACATGATCCATAAGTGATCATACATTATCTGTACAACACAAAGTCATACAGGAAATAATCTACCATTCCAATAATTCAGAGTATCGCTTTGAACCAGTTTATGATCACATTAAAATGATCTGCATTGCTCAATTTACTATACTGAACCAAATTACAATGTAAGTTACAGTATCAACGGTTCTCTGTGGGAAATAAATATTTATAAAAATACTTTATTGCTACAATATTGTATATTAAGTAGATTGTGTAGAAGAAAAAAGTGTGAGATTGTGTTTTTACATACTGCTTTTGAAGGTCCACTCACTGGATCAGTTCGACTTCTAAAAAAAGGAAAACATACTGTCAGAAACAACACAACATATTGTCATGAAAGAGAAATTCACCACCAGAAACCAAAAGTGCATATTAAAACTGTACATCAAAAAACATTCCTCCAAAACCTACTTGATAAAGGCTCTGATCCTAAAGGAACATTAACATTAAGCTTCTACAAATACCTGTAAGACTGACGTGCAAAGTTTACAAAAAGGCCAAATCCCCACACCAAGAGCAAGGCACTCAATTTGACTAGACAGACCGAAAAGTGATAGGTGTGTGGACTCAAAGTGGGGGTCAAAAAACATCACCTGAGAGGAGTGTCTACGCTTCCGTGAAACTTATGAATTCTGCGATAAAGAAAAAAGGTCTGATTTTTAAAAAGTCTTTAAATAGGTCCCCTGAATATTTTATAATAAGGAAGTTATATTCTTTACAATACTGATGCATTACTCAATCCCATAATCTAACTTGGGACATGTGTGATATTTTCAAAGAAAAAGAACTCAACTGAAAGAAATAATTAGATAATGAGTTTTAAAACTCTTTGTAGTCCAGAGAATGTCCAGTATGTACTTTCAATGCCATCAACATGCATTTCCATATAAATTTCATATAATACAATATTTTTCACCTAACCTAATTATCTTGGTATCAAAATAAAAGGTTGATAAAAATAACTGCCTCACTCACATGGAAGGTTTTGTTGCACCTAGACTTGTCTCTTTAAAAATGTATCTTAGATGTCTTAAAGATGTACTGTAAAAAATTCTTAGAGAACCTAGTACTCCTAGTTCAAATGTAGTAGGAAATCACTGCTGCTTGCCATGTGTATGGGCTCACAACTCCTCTTTTTTCATCATCATGAAGAGTTTAGGCCTTCTTCCTGATTTTCTATGAAGCTTAGATCCTCATGACATCTAAATTCAGAAAGCTGTATTTTAAGCCTAAATTAATGAGAACAAGGGAATATTCACAATGATGGTCTGATTTAAAATCTATTTGGATGGCTAAAATGATGAATGAATTTAAAAATGAAAGTGAAAGCTACTTTTCCCCTATTGCCATAAAAGATAAGGTGAGGTAAGGGAGATCTCTAAAAAGAACCAGAGTTCCAATGATGTAAGCGGAAACTAGCATTTCCCCTTATGTTCTGAACTAGACCAAATACATACAGGTAGTCCTTGCTTAGCAACTGTCTGAAGTTACAACAGATCTCCATGGTTACTTTATGACCGTTTCAGAATTCCAATGACCACACACCTCCAGTCACATGATAGCATTTGGGGTGCTTGGCAACCAGCTCGCATTTACAGGCATTTGTAGCGTTCCATGGTTATGCAACCATCATTTTTTGTTGGGCCTGATTCCTCTATTTTTCCAATAAAAAATTCCCATTGAGGAAAACTTGTTTAATGACTGCTGCAAGAAAAGGTTGTAAAATCGGGCATGGTCATGTGGCGACCGGTTTAGCCACTGCCCTGACATATAATTTCGGTTGTAAATCAAGGACTACCTATATGTCCCCAGGATTCAAAGCTTTTCAGCTGACACTTTTTCTAATTACTGTAATAACAGCAAAATAAAGTAACTTTTTTAAAAAATAACCTCCACCCAATTTCTGATTCTTCATTTTTATTTTAAATTTTACTTCAGTGTTTGATATTCAAAGTATATTATAGAACTTGCAGCCTACCAATTCAAATACTTTTACAACTAGAAGCTGCACTTTAACAGTATAAAACAAAGGACGCAAGTATTTGCACACAAGCCTGGTTTTACTTCAGGCAGCAGCAGGAGAATAACAATGTTCTAGGATGTATTTAAAGCCCCAGCCGATTACACCCTCAAAGCTAATGACAGCACAAATATGAATCATTTGTATTCCTTCTTAAAGGAATTATTGGTCAAATACTGTGATATCGCTACATCTAAGTAACTAGATACCAAATTATCAAAACTTGCACCACTGTTTACTTAGATGTGCTATTCACATATTATACCACTGGTTGTTATTATGGGCAACTTACTACTATACTATATGTCAGCCTTCAAGAATCCTTCTTCTGCTTATCTTTCCGACTGCCATAGAAATGGGGGGTGGGAAGATTAATTGGACCTTGTGAGGGGGGGGCGGGGGGAAGAGTGCTGGAGGCTTGAGATAGTAAACTGTAAAACTTGGGAAAACTTTCTTGACTATGCTTACTTGCTTACTGCGCAGCTGTTATCTACTCAGGCCAAGGTCAACCGCTAGATGTTATACACATCTCAGATTGGATGGCCAGTTTGAACTATTGGGGGTGGGAACATTGGCATAACTTTATATATGTGATTTTCGTGCCTATTGCCTCAGATCTTGCATTCTTCTGATGCTACCACTTCAATGTTCAGTAAAAGTCCTTTTCTCTAAAACAATGGAGTCTAAGGTTTTCTCTCTTGGATTTTGAACAGAGCCTCACCTGACATGTATAATCCCAGAGCAGGATTTTTAAAAAATATGGGTAGGGAGCAAAGAATAATCCTCCCAGGCAAAATTCACCTGTATGCTGAGAGCTCCACTGCTCTTGCCAGTAACAGCTTCATTTCAATAGTTCAATGCAAAGAAGTTTAAACGTTCTGAGCTTCTCCTATTCTAGGTAATCAGAGAATTCTCCTGTAGAATCTACCTTTTTGTATTTAAACATGACAATATTTACTCATAATTGAAATAGGCAACAATTTTCAATTAGCAGATATATGTTAAATATTAGACAAAATTCTTTTTCTAGTTTGAACTGTGGTCACTAAGGCAGTCAAAATACACTGCTCAAAAAAATAAAGGGAACACAAAAATAAGACATCCTAGATCTGAATGAAATATTCTTATTAAATACTTTGTTCATTACATAGTTGAATGTATTGACAACAAAATCACACAAAAATTACCAATGGAAATCAAATTTAGCAACCCACGGAGGTCTGGATTTGGAGTTTACATTCTCCACAGTGTGAACCTGCTTTCATCTGTGAAGAGCACAGGGCGCCAGTGGCAAATTTGCCAATCTTGGTGTTCTCTGGCAAATGCCAAACGTCCTGCATGGTGTTGGGCTGTAAGCACAACCCCCACCTGTGGACGTCGGGCCCTCATACCACCTTCATGGAGTCTGTTTCAGGCTGTTTGAGCAGCCACATGCACATTTGTGGCCCGCTGGAGGTCATTTTGCAGGGCTCTGGCAGTGCTCCTCCTGTCCCTCCTTGCACAAAGGCGGAGGTAACAGTCCTGATGCTGGGTTGTTGCCCTCCTACAGCCTCCTCCACGTCTCCTGATGTACTGGCCTGTCTCCTGGTAGCGCCTCCATGCTCTGGACACTACGCTGACAGACACAGCAAAGCTTCTTGCCACAGCTCGCATTGATGTGCCATCCTGGATGAGCTGCACTACCTGAGCCACTTGTGTGGGTTGTAGACTCCGTCTCATGCTACCACTAGAGTGAAAGCACCGCCAGCATTCAAAAGTGACCCAACCATCAGCCAGAAAGCATAGGAACTGAGAAGTGGTCTGTGGTCACCACCTGCAGAACCGCTCCTTTATTGGGGATGTCTTGCTAACTGCCTCTGCTTTCCACCTGTTGTCTATTCCATTTGCACAACAGCATGTAAAATTGATTGTCAATCAGTGTTGCTACCTAAGTGATTTCACAGAAGTGTGATTGACTTGGAGTTACACTGTGTTGTTTAAGTGTTCCCTGTATTTTTTGAGCAGTGTATAAAACAATTCTATCTAGAGGATATTCAAGATAGGATATAGTGATTATGGGTTGCAACAGCAGAAATCAGTATCTTTTCTGATAGTCACCAAATTTCAATAATAGTTAAAATCCTAAGTTCTATTTTAATGATATCCACCAGGCAGGGCTAAGCAAAATACGTTATTTTGAAAGTTTTGAGAATGGAATTCCACAAAATTTCATGATTTAAAAAAGCATTTTGAGACAGACATTCCCATAAGAAAAAGTGTACATGTTTAATTATGAAGAGAACTTGTATAAGTATCAAATAAAAATCCAAGCTTATTTCTTATAAAAAAAAAAAACTTACATGACATATGTTTTGCTTGTACATTTTACTCCTCCAATAGGAATTCTTCTGACAATAACGGATGAGTTCTTAGGAATCAGGGCATTATCATCAGTATATTCTAGGAGAAGGAAATAGAAACATTCTTGGCAGGAGTTCTTATTTGAAATGCAGAATTTCTCCCAATAAGGCACCAAATGGCAGGAATTCTTGGCATAATCAGGCAGGATAATTAACAAAGTTTCTATAGATGTTTTGGGAATTGTCTCCAGGAAAGTGACAGTGCATTGCAGTAATCTAGGGAGTGATGGACAACAAGAAAGAGGCATACTGCTCCCAAATCACAGAATGCCAAGAAATAGAGAAATGTAACAATTATTTTAGTATGGCAGCATTAAAACTAGTCCTGCAGATATACCTACTCCAAACAAAGATTTCATCTATCACAGCTCTCAACGTGAGAAAAAAATGTACAGTATTTCTAATCACCAAGTGGCTGCTCACACTAGGACTAAAATAACTTAATCAATCTTCCATATTTAACTATTCCATCTCATAATTATACCTTTATAAATACATCAATTGTGTTTCTATGATCTACTTCACCCAAATTAATGAAGTAGAATGGTTGAAACCTTTAACAAAGCATATTTAATTACAATATAAAATGAATTAAAACTAACATTTAAAATTAAGCTGGATGTTTAAAATCTTTACAGAATTCTGGAAAAACATAACAAAAGTCAACTATTTCCTCACGTTTTAATTGCATTTCATATTTGCTGAGCAGATTAGCCTTGCAAAATGCATCATTTAGCCAAAGCTTACCTCTCCTCAAAGGGGCAAAGATAACTTAACAGTATTTTGGGGCTGGAATGGATCTGGGTAAAGAGGAGTCTGGATTTAAAAGCAGAAGTGATAAGAAAAACAAATGTAAGCAGAATGTTTCTGCATTCCCCCATGCACTTCTGGTTCAAATTGGGTCTCCTAATGATTTGATGGAGTATCATAGTATGGCAAACAGTCCTTTAATATTTATGATGAACAGAAATCTATTTAATGATTTTGAAAAACAGAATGCATAACTGAGATAATATTTAGCCTGTACCTAGCCTTAAAACTTAAATCCATTTCCAAGTTCTGATTATATACAATTATTCTGAATAATGCTTTTACTAGAAAACTTTTAAAAATTGTTCAGAAGCTATTCAAATTAATCTTTATCATCAATGATATGTTGAGGATAGGTACTTAATATTAATCTCTTGAAGACAAGACCTGGCACCATTAGTCTGATTTAGTTAAATTAAGACACTTTAAAAGAGGAAACTGAAAGAGGAAGTTATATTCCTTAACAATGATTTAGGTCTGACCACAATCCATTAATTTACACTTAATGATTACAGCAGAAGAGTAACTCTTCCTGCAATCACACCTGCTTTACATCTGTGGCAATATTTGCATATCTTAGTCTTTTTTTTAAAACACCAATACAGATAATTCCTTTTTTAGAATTCTAGTCTTTAGAATCCGAAAAATTAAAGATAGTGTAAGAATAACAGAAACTGTTTAGTGGACGAAGTTTAAATGTTTATTCCTATTTTTTCCATATGAACTAAATAGTTTGTATAGATAATGGGAACTGAAAAGCATACACTGAATTTGGTACAGCAGACATAGTGAAATCTGAGAAATGATTTAATTGGTCCTAACCGCAAAGTTCTCCTTCTAATTCACATTTCTGGCAGCTTTACTTAAGCTTACAGACTACTGACAGTTCGTCTAACCTATTTACATTCAGGTTTGATATTAACCCATTTACGTAGAAAATCAAAACATCATTCAGGGAAATTCTGATTTAAGATCCAACTTGCTGTAAAGGGCTTGTTAATCTTCGGGCCCACCAAAATACATCTCTGACATTATTTGTAAAAAAAGTAACTGATAGGATATATACAGTGGATAATGGCATTTTGAGTCTGTCATGACATCACCCTGAAGCCTTATACCAAGGGTCTTCAAACTTGGGAAGTTTAAGACTTGTGGACTTCAACTCCCAGAATACCTGAGCTAACATGACTGAAGAGGAATTCTGGGAGTTGAAGTCCACAAGTCTTAAAGCTTGAAGTTTGAAGACCCCTGATCCTACCTACCATCTCTCTCTGTGTACCTACCTACCTATTTACCTACCTACCTATTTACCTACCTACCTATTTACCTACCTACTATCTATCTATCTATCTATCTATCACCTATCACAAGGGTCTTCAAACTTGGCAAGTTTAAGCCTGGAGGACTTCAATTCCCAGAATTCCTGAGCTAATATGAGTGGAGGAGGAATTCTGGGAGTTGAAGTTCACAAGCCTTAAAGTGGCCAAGGTTGGAGACCCCTACTCAAGAAAGTTACTGAGCTGAGCTATTCCTGGCAAACTTCAGGGCCTGAAGTGCGTCTTTTCTCCCCTACAGATTTCAGGTTTCTTCAGAGAGGAGGAAAAAAAAACTCCACATCATTCCCGACATTGTCGGCCGCCCAGTCACCTCCCGGGTTCGGGACGCGGGTGGCCATGGAAGTAACCCCTCCTGGCAGCCGCTCAACTCCCACCCCGCCGGGCCGAAGCCCTCCCTCGGCAGGCAACCCCTCGCGCGGAGAAGCGGACCGGGGGCGCGAGTGCCCCCCCCCCCGGGGCCTCCTCCTCCTCGGCCGAACTGCCGGCGGCCCAACCGTCGCGGACAAAGGCGGATCCGTCAGCTCGCCGGCCGGAGGCGCCCGCCACGTGCCCGCCTGCCGGCCGGCCGGCCTACCTTCTTTGGTCTGGGCGTTGGTGATCTGCAGGTCGCAGTCGGCCGCCTTGAGCTTCTCGCGGCCCATGATCTGGCGCTTGAGGTCGCAGAGCGAGATGTGCAGCCCGTCGAAGGTGACCGTGTCATAGTTGAGCTTCGACGAGAACTTGTAGTGCACGCAGGACATGGCTGTACTGGCGGGCGGGCGGGCGGGCGGGCCTCCCCTCCTGGGCTCTCCCTTCAGAGGCCGCCTCGCCCGCCGCGGCTCCTGTCAGGCGCGGCGCTGGGCCGGTTTAGGCCTCCAACATGGCCGCGGAAGCGGCGGCGGCGGGTCCTTCCCCCTCCTCTTCCTCCTCCGCTCTCGGCCTCGCTCTCGTCTCGACGGCAGCAAAGACTCGCGTCGTTTAGTACTCCTCCTCCTCCTCCTCCGTCGTCGTCGTCGTCGTCGTCCGGCCTCGGCCTCCTCCTCCTCCTCCTCCTCGGCGGATCGCAGCCTCAACGGCCTCCTCGCAACGGCAACGGCTCTGAGGCTGCGCTTAACGCTCCGCCTTCGCTCCGGGGTCTCCCAGCCGGTCGCCGCAGGGCTGTTCGAGGGGTGCGCGGAGGGGGGGGGGGGTAGAAAGAGAAGAGCAGGGCGCGCGAGGAACAGCCGCCCACCTTTCCCCCCCCGGCCGCACACAAGGCGCGCTTGGGAAAAAGGGCGAGCCGAGGCTGCGCCCGAGTGCGCAGGCGTCTCAGCGTGCGCGCGCGCGCGCCGAGCCGAGTGAGCGCTCTCTCTCCTGCGTGGGGGGGGCGCCCACGTGACCCAGCGCATTATGACAAAGGGAAGAAAAAGCCGCTCTTCCGCTTCTGGCCTCTTCGCCCGAGCCCCACCTCCCCATCGCCAGGGAAGGCACGTGACCACCGGCGGCCTGGCCCGGCCCCCTTTTAAAAGGGCCGCGGCTTTAAAGGCGATGCGCGACGCTCGAGGGAGAGTCTCGGAGCGGCTGTTGCACTCTGGGCTGCTGGGGCCCGGCGAGGGGCTTTTTGCTCTGCTGCACACGGGCGAGGGGCTGTCCCTGCGGGCCAGCAGGACCCAGGAGGCCATCTAGACCCGGGGTCTCCTCCAACCTTGGCCACTTTAAGCCTAGCGGACTTCAACTCCCAGAATTCCCCAGCCAGCTTTGCTGGTTGGGGAATTCTGGGAGTTGAAGTCCGCCAGGCTTAAAGTGGCCAAAGTTGGAGGAGACCCCGATCTAGACCATCCGTATGCGGGGCAGATCCGCAGTGGCGCCCCCGGGCCACAAGGGAGATGCTCTCCAGTTCAGACCCCTCCGAGGCTTCGAGCGGGTTGGAGGAAGCCCATCAGCCGGCGGAGGAGGCAGCCCTGCTCTCCCTTCCCCCCCAAAACAGCCTCGCGGGTCTTGCGTGGAGCCCTCGAGCGAGGCGATGCTCTGGCGGGGGAGGGAGGTCTCCGTGCCCGCCCACCAGAGCTCTGCCCCCCTTCAAGACCCCCTTTGACAGCTTCGCTTCCCCTCGGAGAGCGATGCAAGCCCCCTCCTCTGGAATTTGGGTCTTCTTTTGCTGGGGGCTGCAAAAACAGATTAACAGAGTTGGAAGGGACCCTGTAGGTCATCTAGACCACCCCCCCCCCAAGCAGATCAGAAGGAGGGGCTGAGAGTATCTGCCGGCTTTGGCCTCTGTCGGAGGAGACTCTGACAGCATGGGGAGCGAAGGAATTTCCTCCGGGCTTTTCCAGTGCTAGAGATTGGGGGGCTCTTTCCTTCCTCTGCAACCAGCCCGAAAGTCCCCCCCCCTCCATTCCTGCTGCTGGTTAACACTTTTTCAAGAGGCAACTGGACTTTCTTGGTTTGTCCTTGAAGAGGTGAGGCTCCATTCAAAATCAAACCTTAGACTCCATTGTTTTAGAGAAAAGGACTTTTACTGAAAAATTGAAGTGGTAGCATCAGAAGAATACAAGATCTGAGCCATTAGAAAATCACATATAGAAAGTTATCCCATGTTGCCACCCGCAATAGTTCAAACTGGCCATCCAATCTGTCACGTGGGTGCATCTTCAGGTGGCATTTCACACATCTGGTAGGCCAAGATGGTTGGCCTTGGCCTAGAGAAATAAGAGGCTACATCTGCGCAGTAAGCAGAGTCAAGAAAGCATCCCAACTTTTATAATTCACCAACGTCACCAATATAAATCACCAAGCTCCAGCACCCAAGGATTCTTGGAGGCTGACATTTCGCTTCTCATTCAAGAAGTTCTGAATGAATGGGGGATAATTCCACCAGAACTGAAAAACTGAAGAATTAAGCTATGGTTTGTTTTATTGAGCAAGCCACTATTAGTCTATGGAGATTCTCAGTCATCCAGGTTATGATGGTCCCAAAGCTGCTTTTTCAGGAGGCAACTGGACTGTCTTGGTTTTTCTTTTGAAGATGTTTCGCTTCTCATCCAAAGCGCTTCTTCAATTCTGATGACAATGTGAAACATTTTCAAAGAAAAACCAGAAAGTCCAGTCACCCTTTGAAAAAACACTTTTTGGGCAACCATGACCTGGATGACTGAGAATCTCCATAGACGTTAAGGCAAGTGGTTCGTTCAAAGGCATTATTTACAAATTAAGAGGAGGGAGTGGGGAGAAGTATCTCAGCACATCCTATAAAATATAAGCATGATTTTGTTAAAAAAATAAATTTTATTGAGTATAAACATTAAAAACATTGAACGTGGTAGTCTTCTTTGATATACATTTCTGTCAATACATTTTGCATTTATTTATTTAATTTATATTGCCGCCTATTCACCCATGGAGACTCAAGACGGCTTACACAATGTAAAACCATACTTAAAGCCAAAAAATAATATTTAGAAAGATAAAGAAGCTATGTACAATTTATGTATATTTATATACATAAATACTGTACATTTAGACTTTGTAGTTTTTAAATCTTATTAATCTTCAAATATGAGATCCCTTATCTCTCCCCTATTTCACCTTAAGTTCTTATTTCAATTTTATGAACTCCCTTTCATGTCCTTCCAGTAGTAAAATTTATTCCAAATTTTATGGTATTCTGATTCATATTGATCCTTCAATTCTAAAGTCAACCTATCCATTTTGTCGTGTTGTAATATCTTATCAATTGTAAGTTCCTCCCTAGGGATTTCACTTTCCAATTTTGGGAGAATATCATCCTTGCTACTGTGATTACATATAAACATGATTTTTAATACATGAAATGGATACGAATAAAAGGGAACATTTGGACAGGGACAGTAGGCACGCTGGTGCACTTATGCACTGTGACAAATAGAGTTATTAAATTTATATCCTGCTTTTATTACCAGAGGTCCCAGCAATGCACGCAGAACTCCTTCTCCCCATTTCCCCCATAACAACTGCCCAAGAGAGGAGCTGGTTCAAAGACCACCCATGAGGAGGACTAGAACGTGGCTCCCAAAGTAATGGTACCCTGCTCTGCTTTCCCCAAAGGGACCGGAGCAGTGGCTGATTGGGGCCTTGAGAGGCAGGGGCCCTTAGGGGCTGCAGCCTCTTCTCCCCATCCTAGGTCATCTACATGTCCATGAGGAGGCCCAGGTGAGGTCAGAAACATGGTCTAGGACCCCCGGGCCTTTAGCCTCACCAGGCACTGGTCTCAGCTGCTCCTCCATCACAAAAGAAGGACCATTGTGAAGCAGGGGAAAGTAACCGAACATTTTAACCCTTGAACCTTGGATCTGGTGCACACACGAAGAAACACACAATCTTACAGTTTGCAGTTGCTGATACAAATGAAGGCATTTTTTGTAAATAAAGGTATATTGGTTTGGGCAAACTGGTAGCTCCGAAGATCAGCTGGGAGCAAACCGTTGGCTCTGAAAATCAAGGCATTTCCTTACCCCACCCACCCCCTTAGCTGTTTTCCAAAGGTCAGCTGTGCCGCACGATTTAAATTAGCTAGAAAGCAGGAAATTGTCAGATTTCTTGCTTTCTAGCTAATCTAAATTGTGCAGCACAGCTGATCCCCCCTCGCTGTTGTACTGCTTTGCTCAGGAGGCATCCCTGAAACCCAGGAGGCAAAAAGTGGGGTGCGTGGGATGCCACATGGCCTCCTCCTGCCCCATTTTTGCTCCCAGGAGGCTTCCCAGAGGCCCAGTAGGCAAATTATTTTTTAATTGATAACAGCCTCTCTTCTCCAATTGCAGTGCATTGTCCCTACCTGATAATTATGATGAGGATCCCACAGTATCTATGGCCTTTCTTATTCAGTATGAATTATACTAACCCTCTTAAGGCAGATAGAATTTTCTACTGATTGCTCCCATGCAGGAATTATAAATGGCCAGTGAAGTGGAGGCGCTGCAAAATGATTGATTACTTTTTGGTAGCAGAACACCCTGGATACTGGCAGTTATATTGAAGCATTTAATCATCCCGCAAAATGGGTGATAGCCAACTCCGATATCGGGTAAACGTGACAAGGGAGATGTTAAGGGTGAGTATACATGACTGACTTTCAGCTGTTAGTTCTGCACGTAGGCAAGGGTGAATTGGTCAGGCAACCGGCTTTAAAAAAAAGGTCTATCTGCTGAAATACGGCATAATCCTATCTGAACGACATGAATCCTAAATCGAAATTATAAATAAAGAATGACTGAGTACTCAAAGAGATGTTGAAAGTGTTAATCCAGTTCTCCTTGGGCAGAAATGAAAGATCTGAAGAAGCAGCTCACTGCCTGGATGGAAGGGAAATATTTCTCTCTCTCTCTCTCTCTCTGCCTCCCACTCCCTCCCTCCCTGTGTAGGATGTAGCTCTTCCTGCTTGGGTGGATGGCTAGACTAGAATCTAGATGAACTACAAGGTCCCTTCCAACTCTGTAAATCTGTAAATATCTCTCTCCCTCCCTCCCTCCCTCTCTGCCTCCCTCTCCCCTCCCCCTTTTCCCCTTCTCTTTTCCCTCCCTCCCTCCCTGTGTAGGGTGTAGGGCTTCCTGCTTGGACAGAGGGTTGGACTAGATGACTTACAAGGTACCTTCCAATTCTATAAATCTCTCTCTCTCTCTCTCTCTCTCTCTCTCTCACACACACACACACACACACACACACAGCCCCATTAGCCAATTCAGAGATGTTGAATCTGTGCATTGGAAACTAATAGGGATTTATTTTCAGGTATGGCGGGAGTCGGGATATATTTACTATCAAGATTACATTCTGGCCTCCTCCACTCAGCCCCGGAACCTGCTTCCCGGCTTCAGTGGCCCTGGTTCAGGTCAGGTTGGAAGGGACCTTAGAGGTCTTCTAGTCCAGCCCCCTGCTCAAGTAGGAGAGTCTATACCATTTCAGACAAGTTACCTTCCAGTGTCTTCTTAAAAAATCTTCAGTGATGGGAGCACCCACAAGTGCTCCACCAGTTGATTGTTATCTCAAGTTATTTCTTCTAAGTTGGTTCTTTCCTTGATTAGTTTCCATCCATTGTTTCTTGTTTTGCCTTCAGGTGCGTTGGAGAATAGGTTGACTCCTCTTGTCTTTGGGGCAGTCCCTCAAATATTATTTCTTTTCTTATTTTTATTTTTTTATCTTATTATTTCTTCTCTGACTTGCAATTCAAAGCTGAACCGGCTTGTGATGGTGAGAGCTGGTTGCACAGCAAAATGGGGATTCCCTCTCGGAAATTTTCACCTCCTGGCTTCATCCAAGGGAGAAAAATGTTCATGCAATTGGCCAGCT